ATATCTGGGATGCTGAGAGAGGTTAGTTTTTTCCAACCTACACAAGAGGAAATAGATACTAGGGGTGTTTTCTAACCTCTAGCATCCAACCTTCCTGCTCTATACCCAGTCTAAAAGCTGTTGACAAAGCATTTCAGTGTCTACTCTTTATTGTAAAGGAGATTTCTGGGTTTCCCCACAGCAGTACTTTTATTCATTGCCCCTCCCCCCCTTTTTTTAAGGTGCTGAATTATTGGGGGTGGAGAGAAAAGAAACAGTACAGTCATAAAAGGAACTGAGAGACTGCAAGTGTAAAGTCAGGTAAAGTTAGAAACTAGTCCCAAGGGACTTTCTAGAGAAAAGCACGACCCCCTAGACGCTTGGGTCTTTTGTAAATAAAGACAAGTTTGTACCACAATTAAACTAATTCACTCTGATAACATTTTCATGCATGAGGCATCTGTACAGTTTAAACCAAATGCAACTTTCTGTAAATGCCAGCTCTTCTCTGTTCCTCAAAGTGTTCCAAAACTACATCACGATACTAATACTCTTGACAGCTCACTATTACCCCAAAAGCTCTGAATAACAAGAAAAAGTGATTACAACCCATGCATTCTTAGTTCTGTGCTTTTAGTGCTTGAGAAAAGCTGCAGAACCTTCGTTCATATCTGCAGCTACCTGAAAGGAGATTGTAGCAAGGTGGGTGTCAGTCTCTTCTCCCAAGCAATACAGGGCAAGAGGAAATGGCCTCAAGTTGCACGAGGAAAAGTTTAGATTGGATATCAGGAAAAATTTCTTCACTAAGAGGCTTGTCAAGCACTGGAACAGGCTGTCCAGTGAAGTGGGTGAGTCACCAAGATGTGTACATGTGGCGCAGTTTAGTGGTAGACTCGGCAGTGTTAGGTTAACGGTTAGACTCTATGATCTTAAGGATCTTTTCCAACCTTAATGATTCTGTGATTCTATTTTCCCTGTATATAGCAAATTTTAAAAACTAAATGCTGACACGAGAGCAGTGACTAGACTTTGCAAAGCTGATTCTTTAGATTATGCAGCAATTTTGCATTATATTTTCACCAGCAGCAAAAAAAAAAGTGTCCATTTGCTAACAGGGCCATCCTTCATTTTTATCCCTAAAATCCTGTACTAAAACCTGTACTGAGGACCCAAGTGATATTCTAAATTACTCAATGCAATACAGGTACATACAGAAATTATACCACTAAGTATGCTTTACTTAGGTTCTCAGTTAAAAAACCTGTTCTTACCTACAGTGGAAAAATCAAACAAAATGTAAGCACTTAAGTCAGTTTCTAAAGCACAAGACTCTTGCTCCAGTTCTGCCATTATTCCAACATTGCCACATGAGTAATTTGCAAGACAAAGGTTTACTTCTCTATTTATCACAAGTAGCTTTTCCTTAAAACCTTTTTTTTTTTTTTTTCCTTCTGAGAAGTGTGCTGCTTGACAGCATCCTTACATCCACCGTATCAAATGAACGGTAACTGGACACCAGCCTTCTGAGACCCTGGGGGATTTTTGTGTGTCAAGAATCAGCAAGGCAAAAAAACCCAAACAAAACCTGCAACAAAAACAACCAAACACACACATCCCCCAAAAATACCCTCCCCACAGTTTGCCCCCCCCCCCCAAAAAAAAAAAACCAAAACCCAAAAAACTAAAACACCAAAGCATCAAAAAACACAAACTCAACTGATCAAAAGCCGCACCGACTGGCTTAATAAGATCCTACACCCATAATAAAGATTTCTTGTGCTGCTTTTAGGGGATAATTTCCAACAAATTGAATGGCAAATAACTGACCATAAGTGATGAAAACAAGTTACTATTCGCTTTTATTAAAAACTACCGACAGACCTCAAGAATCACAATCCCTTTGGAAAAAAAAAGGCGGGGGGGGGGGGGGGGGAAGCTCTGCTATTAAGAAACAAGAATTATCAACAATTTCAGCTTCTACATCATCGCAGTTTTTCACTGGTGCTACAGAAAAGTGTTCGTGTGCGCCCTCCCCGCCCGCTGCCTGTGCAGTTTCGCGTCCCCCTGCCCTGCAGACCCCGGGAACAGCAGCACAGGTGCTGCGGATCAAACCGCTCCAGTCAAACACGGTGCACTGCAAGCGGAGGGTATCCAGGAGCCTGTCCGGCTCTATTCCTGCACTTCCATCCCTGCTGCCAGCCAGCCTCGCGGGGAAGTAGCTCAGCTGTCTCCTCACTGGCACTGCAGTTCCGTCCCTTCCCATCCCGCCGCCGCTTTCCCAGGGCTTCTGCCGCCTGACCGGAGGCCCCACTGTCCCAAGCCCGTTGCTGCTTACCCGCGGGACGCCAGAAGCCGCTCCGTCCGTCCGTCCGTCCGTCCGCACGCCGGGAGCGCGGGGCGCTCTCGGCCGGGTCTCGCGGGGAACTCCTGGAGCCGCGGAGGGCGCAGGTGGCACCGCCCGCTGCACGCCGAGGGCGGGGGACCGGGACGGCCCCGGCTGAGGTTTCTATTTCGGTTTCCTGGAAGGGGGGAGCTGCACCGCCCTGCTCTGGGTGCGGCCATGACGCTGCCGGAGTCCCGGTGACGTCCGTGAGCCCCTCGATCTCCCCTGTCCCGTGCGCATCTAGGGGGATCCTGCCAGCTCCATACACACCGAGATTAAGCATTATTAACGATTGGACTTGATGACCTTTAAGGTCTTTTCCAACATAGCTGATTCTACGGTTACGAGAATAAAAATTCAGCTGAAACTGGTGGACTATAGGACAACAATGTGAAGGATTTGTTAGCAGCAGTGGGACTGAAATGCTCTTGGGGACAGCAGCATAAATTTGGTAATTGCTAAAATTGGGCAGGATTATATTTTATTTCTCATCCAAAAGGCAGTAACTCCTGCAGGACTGCGCTGCCCAACTGTTCCTCTTCACCGAATTAGCTTTTAAGGAGAGAAGTGGCACCTCTTGATCACCAAACCCAGTTGCTGCAGCACTAGGAGCAGATGAGGTGAACCTGCCTCAAGGTCTCATGAGACACAAGCTGTATTTTCTGTTTATTATCTGCACTATAATATTTGCTTACTGAAGTTGGTGGCAAAACTTTCATTTTAAAGCTTCAGAACACTCTCTTTAGGCTCCAGTGTTTATTATCACTACATACAACTCCTTTTCTGTTTCCATTACCTAGACACACTGATTCCCTTGTTTAAAGGTTGCACGTTTGCTACTTGTCTGGTGCTGCTCAAAACTGCCCAAAGTATGGCACAAATGACATTCTGAAATGTTTAGGGAACCAGACAGGCTCACTAATTGGTTTTGTTTCCCTTAGCATCATAACTTAGCATGTGGAATACTGCTAGCAGTGTTAACATCTGTTCACACAAGGTTTCTTCTCCAAAATACACAGATGATAAACACATCAGCGCCATATCTATGTTGAGTTGGAGGCCCTTGCCCAGTTGCACTAACTACTCAGTGCATTTACTAAGAAACACCCGTGAAAAAATGCAAGCAAGCTGAAGATCATTGAAATAAAACCAGAGGATGGAAATTGAAGGCAACTAAGGAAGCAGGCAGGCTACAGGAGAGGTAAAAAGGAGAGAGGCCAGGCCTGAAAGAAGGCAGAATTGGGAGTAGCTTGAATGTGGGAGGTTAAAGCTGAGCAAATGCATTCTTACACACAGCATCTCTCAAGCTAGGAAACCTTCGGTATCCTCTTTGAGGAATTTGCTTGGGTTATTAGTGTTCCTAAACCCACAATTAATTTTAATGAATCCATTTTCCTTTTTTTAGACCAGCTTCAAAGGGGAAAAGAGGAGGAGTTTCTCTCCACATCAGTGCATTTACGAAGGACAAGTCATAGGATTCCAGAGGAAACTCACCATGGAAAGATGGAGGAAACACAGGTTTCTGCTCCATGGCATGTGTATGTAGGGTATAAACTGAAATGCAGTATTTAAAAAGCAATCTACTCAGATTCAGGATCATCCTAGAATACAAATTCAATTGCTTATAGACCCTGACTTACTAGGAGGCTCCCAAGGGTACAGCTCTGCAGTGAAGACCTGCTAGCACACAAAAAAGAGCCACACAGCCCAGCCTAACATACAATACACGTGTGCCCGTAAGTTAAAAAAAAAATGACTATTTTCAAATACAAACAAAAATGCCATTTTCATCACTCCATACCTGGGAACCATGCTGTAGGCCACTTCCTTGGTGCCCTGCAGCTCTGTGACCTAACCACTGCATTTCTGATACCACAGAACATGCGTACTGGCCTTCTCTATAGTAACTCCCTTTTCTCACCCCTCTCATGAGATTGGACAAATCACAAAATGGTTTGGGTTGGAACAGACCTTCTAGCTCATCCACTTCCAACCCCCTGCCATGGGCAGGGTCACCTCACACTAGGCCAGGTTGCTCAAAGCCCCATCCTGGCCTTGATCACTGCCAGGGATGGGGCAGACAATTATGTATTTATTATTAAGAAATAAAGTCTGTATTTGGTACATTTCAATAATTAAGCCCTAATACATTTCTTGACTGCACCTAGAGCTATCACCAGTAGCTATCACCAGTGTTTCCCCTTCTTAAACAGCCAGTCAGCTGAAACCTGCATTCAACCCCTATCACTTCGGCCATCGGACCCTTCAGGTTCACCTCCATGCCCACCTCTACCCTCCCGCCCTTGGCCGGCGGGGGTCCTGCAAGGGGCGACCGCAGGCCCTGGCAGATGGGCACGCAGGAAGCCTATCCCGATCTGTGGGGTAAGCAGCTGCCCGCACCCACACGCCTTGGGCCCGGCCTAGGCTGGGCTGCGCTGGGCTGGGTTGGCCGGTTAGTTTGCTCCCTCATGCCAAAGCAGGCAGCTGCCTGCTCTTACACGCCTTGGTGGTGACAACAGCCACAAACGTCGTGCCGGTAACGCAGGGACAGCTCAGGACTCGGGCAGCCGCTCCGCTCCAGACGAAGGAAGATTGAGCCTCACCGACCGCCGTCCAAGGCGGAGAGAGCGCCTGCGCAGAGGCTGCTGCCGGCCTGATAATGGCGCACCGGGCGGGCGGGCGGGCGCTGTCCGTGCTTCTGAGCCACCTGCGCCTCCCCGGCCCGGCGGCGACCGGCGGCTGCGCGGGATGCGGGCAGGCCCGGCCCGGCTCCTCCGGCGCTGCGGTGCAGAAGGCGCCGCAGGCGGCCGGCCCCGAGGAGGCGGGTGAAGGTAGGGGTCGCCGGGTCGTAGCACGTTCCTTCCCCTCAGGATGTCCCCGCTACGGCTGTGCCTCCCGTGGGCGATGAGGTCAGGAGAGGGCGCAGGGAGCGGACTGTCCGTCTGTTGTGTTTGCGGTAGGCAGTTCGGCCTCGAGAGAGGCGCCTGGGCAGTGCCGGCCTCCCAGGCTTCAGCACTTTCTCAGGGCCTCGGAGTCCCTGCAGCGACAGGGGCACCCCGCGGCAGCTTTGTTGGCCTGTGCTTTCCCGGCCGTAGCGCCAAGGTGCAGCCTGGAAGGCCAGAACCTGCTAGCTTTGTCTGGGACTTGGTTTATTAGACGTGGAAATGTGCTAGAGGTGAATGAATTTCCCCATCTACTCCACTCTTGTGAGACCCTGAGTACTGCGTTCCGCTCTGGGCCCCCAACATAAAAGCACGTGGACCTGTTGGAGTGTGTCCGAATTTCGGTTAATGATCCTTTTTTTGGACCTGGTTTGTTACATGACTGTGTGTATACTTGCATTAGCATTAGCATGCAGAGGGCAGCATTAGAGTATCTATGAGCACCATGTGGGGAATGGTGTTGTTTCTTGCAGCAGGAGTGCTGGTGTATACCTCTTTAAAATAACTGTAAAACTTTGGCACTAACTGGAAAAGTTGTATGGAACCGAGGAAGAAAGCGAAATGGACCGTCTCTCTTGCATTTAAAGTGCTTACAACCACCTTTTGGATGTGATCATCTGTACCTGTGCTGTGCTTAGACTGTGCAGATGACAGCGAAGCCAGGAAGAGATGTGAGATGACATCATCTGCCGTAGTAACTAAGCACGTATAGGCAGTAAATCGGGCAGGAATCACATGGGTAATTTGGCATAATGCAGAGAGCTGTGGGTGTGAGAAGATCCAGGTTCATCTCCTGACTGTGGTACTCATCCACATAACTTGTCCTTTCTGTATAAGAGTCACTTCATACTGCTTTGCCCCTAAGGAAAATAGGATATTTAGCATCTTCATAAAGTGCTTTTTGGGGTTTCTAATGAAAAATGCTATATACAACTAAGCTATCAAAACAATTATGTTGCTTCATATTTACAGGACTATGTAAGAGCTCAATACATTTGTAAAGTAAAATTATAGACTGGTTAGAGTTGGAAAGGACCTTAAGATCACCCAGTTCCAACTCCCCTGCCATGGGCAGGGACACCTTCCGCTAGACCAGGTTGCTCAAAGCCCTGTCCAACCTGGCCTTGAATACTGCCAGGATGGGGCAGCCACAGCTTGTCTAGGCAACCTGTGCCAGTGTCTTACCACTCTCAATAAAGAATTTCGTCTTTATATCTAACCTAAATCTCCCATTTAAGTTTGATTTTTATTTTTTTTAATAATAATAAATACTAACAAATGTCATTAGGTGATGGTTAAGGTTTTTGTGAGGTCACAGTATCCCATGGGTTCCTCAAAATCAAGACCATAAAATAGAGTGGTCTGCTGAGTCTTCCTGTATCAGACAGTAGCTGCAGGGAAGTAACTGCATATTCTCCAGTCTGACTTACAAATGGCAATATTAACAGACAGCAGCTTTACAGGCTGTAGTAATGTGCTGTGGTCAGTAGATTAGTTTGAGAGTTATGCAGGCAAGTGATTATGATCTCAAATTTCAGGATATGTCCCCTTTTTATGTATCTAATCAAGAAAAAAGTGTCTGTGTTCAGCATGTCTCATTTCCATGTTAATTCTGTGGGCTGTCAGCAGCAATGTAGATTGCCAGTAGTGTGGCAAGATATGACTGATCTGTGGGTTTATTGTAGTAGAGCAGATGAAACTATAGTATTAAATGAAAACTTTGAGTAGGAGTTTACTGTAAAAGAAGGTGACAAGTTGTAGAAATAAGCCAGTATTGAATTGTTCCGAAGGTGAAAGTGCTGGTTTTGTGGTAGCTGAGAGAGATTATCTTTCCAGCATAGCTTGCCAAAGGCCTAGCTCTGCCTCATACGCCAGCTGGTATTTCTAGACTCGTATGTAGAGTCTGACTCTGCAAGCTGAGTGTTTTGATACAGCAAATCAAAGGAGAGAAAATACTCCTTGTATTATAAAGATTCCTGTGGCATCAAGGGAAGTCAGTACTGTTTTCTTCCTATATTTGCTATTCCTTGTTCTTACAAATGTATGTATTTGTGACAGACATACGCTAATGTTTGTATCTTTCACTCATTCTTGGTTGCTTTTTCTTTTGCTGTGACCCTCTCAGAGAGCCAGAACAAACCTTTGGCCAGTTGTTCAATCCAGAGAAAGAGACTAAGTGTACTAGAATCAGTTTTAAATCTTTATATATAAGAGTCTTGATGCTCATTTCTTCTCACAGATGCTGAAGTCAATACCAAAAAGAAGACATTTGCTGAGGTCCAAACAGAACGATTGGAGCAAGCAGAACGGACTGTTTTAATTAAGTGCCCACCAAAACTGAATGAAAAAAAATTATTGCAGTATTTATCCAGTCATGGAAACATTAAAAGTCATTTCTTTTTTGAAAATCGGGTAAGTAATTAACAAAGTAAAGTAAAATTTAGACTCAGACAAAACCAAATGCCGGCATTTGGTCAAGGCCTCATACATGCAAGTTAAGAAAATGATCTGTAATTAGTAAATTAATTTTTTATCTTAATGTTGCTGGGCAACATATTTTTATTCATAAATCAGCTAAGCAGCACTTAAGGCATAGCTAGCAACCTGTTTTACACTAAACCTTTGAACCTTTCAAATAGCACTGAAGTGTGCATTATTCTGACAACAGGGATAACTCACTTTTATATATTTCCTAACTGTTGCAGTTGTGAAGATAAATAGATTTTAGAACTTCTATGTTTAGTGCTTGCTGCCAAGAATAGCATATCTAAAATATTTCTGACCTCTTGTGAAGAAGTGTCTAAAAATTGTTGAGGTACAAGACCTCGCATTTGGCTTCAGGACTGTCATTAAACTGTCTCAATACTCCCAGCAGCATCTAAATAGTATCAGTTCAGGGCTTGTATGCATTTATCTAACTCTGTCTGTTTCCATTTGTCATGTTTTAGGGTATCCATGCTTTAATAGAATTTTCGGAAAAGAACAGTATAGCCTCGTTGCAGGACGCCATTGGAGTCCCAAGTGCTGCAGAGTATCACGTTGTTCCATTTAAATCTAGACTTTTTACTTTCATGCTGAAAAACCCAGTTAGTCAAGCTGCTGAAGGGACACCGCTTCACCTCTCTCCTCAGTCTCACATTCCAGTGAAAGAGCTTATTGAGAAGCTTTGTCATGCAGACAGTGTAAGTAGAGGTTTCTCGATCTCTTTCAATTAGAAATGAACCATGCTTAATTCAGATTTGCAAGTAGTCATGTGCTACTTACAAAACAATTTATTTCTATACCCCTCTTAGAATTTTGTGTGAGTGGTTCTCTTTCATTGAAATATGTGGATGAAATCAGGAATTGCAAAGATTTTTTTTCTGTATGAAATAAGCACATTTGAGATTAAAAAAATCTTCCAGTTGCAGTAATGTTAAGTAGATGTAAATGTATGCTAGTAGACAGAAGATGGGTGATTTTATATTTAAAGTATTTATTTTCTCACCTAGATAAGCAGTCAGATGTACATCCTACTTAATGAGTATCAGCTTACAGATGAAAATATCAAGCTCCGATACCTGGTCTGTTCCCTGGTTCAGGATTTTGCACGTGCGTATTTTCCAGACAGCACAGTAAAGCCATTTGGCTCTTCAGTCAACACTTTTGGCAAATTGGGATGTGATGTGGACATGTTTCTGGACTTCCGTGATACACAAAAGCATGCCGCAAAAATGGTAAGATTATGCTGTGCATCTCCAACCTACTGGATTTCTTACCAGAGCAGCTCATTTGCTGCCTTGAACACTGCCAGGGATGGAGCATTCACAACCTCACTGGGCAACCTATTCCAGTGCCTCACCACCCTAACAGTAAAGAATTTCTTCCTTATATCCAATCTAAACTTCCCCTGTTTAAGTTTTAACCTGTTACCCCTTGTTCTGTCACTACAGTCCCTAATGAATAGTCCATCCCCAGCATCCCTGTAGGCCCCCTTCAGACACTGGAAGGCTGCTATGAGGTCTCCATGCAGCCTTCTCTTCTCCAGGCTGAACAGCCTCAACTTTCTCAGCCTATGCTTTCAAAGCATATTTTGTAACTAGCTGTTTTCTTTTGTATTCATCCCCTGTAGAAATAGAAGTTCTGTTGTGAACTTTATTGTTACTTGATGATGGACAAACTTACTAGCAGTTGTGATTACTTGCGGATAGTTCACAGGCTCATTACTATGGGGATGCTGCAGCAAGAAGCCAGCAGGGATACTAGCTGAGTGTGTGCCTTCAGATTACATGGTAGGTTAATAGGCTGTGTGGCACACTGATACTCTGTGTGGTGCAGCAAAGCTTTTGTTTTGTGTGCAAGCACAGACTATATGCACTGAAGATGATGATCTTACTGTTTTTTTGACATTTTAGAGTGTTAAAACATGGATACATTTGCTGCATCAGTGTGAAAGTATGTAAAATAAGGAACATTAGAGCATCACTGACGGCCTCATCTTTGGCCAGCAGCTGAAGCTGGCTAGAACTGTCCCTGTCCAAGATGAGGAGCAGCTGCTTATGGCTTCTTGAAGAAGCCAATCCTGCAGCAACCCTACTACCAAAACCTTGCCATGTAAACCTGGTAGTAACATTGGTCCCATCGCCCATGATGGGCAACAGACAATATTTCAGAAGAAGGCAAAAGTCTCATATAGCTGGCAGTGTGATTTGTAGGGAGAACAGTATTCTCCCTGGCAAACTGTGTGACTAGCATACGTAACTTGACTGTCTTAGAACAAATGAAGACAAGGGGAGGTGGCTTTAGTTATAAGATGATAGAGCAGCAGTGAAATGGGTATCCTCTGATTTTTTGCTTTATTGCAGCCTTTTAGGAGGTATTAGCAATGGTACCAGGCATTTCAGTACCTATTTACATTAAATTAGTTTTAGTCTTATGGTAAACTGATTTCTAATTGTGAATTTAAAAAGCAGCAAAAGTGGGAGCATTCTTTACCAAGATTATCAATGCAATGTTTGACCATGGGTATGGCATTTTGAACATGTGGGCAGTTTGGGATATTAGTGAAGGACATAAAAGAGAGTTCTCTAATATTTTTAAAGTAACAATTTCTGTGTTTAAACAGTTATGCTTCTTGCTTAAGGTACTGTATCAATTTACCCCCGAGTAATAGTTCACTTTATGTACATTTGCTGTTCTGAGTGACATGGCAAGAATAAGTGGAGAACCTACTGGGGCAAGTGTATCAGTACTTCATCCTGCCCAGCTGACACCAAACCTATGTGAGAAGGTCCTGTCAATGATTAAGAGTACCTATTTTATCATTACGAAAAAAAAAAAAGTCTTTATTCAGCTTCTGAGAGATAATTGAGCTGCTGTTTGGAAGGCACGTTATGATTTTTGTCACAAACAAAAAGGTCCAAAACCCAGCACACCTACATGTGGTCAGAGTTCCCATCTTTTTCTTTCTTGTTACCTGCCTCGATGCTAATAGTTACAGGCTTTTTTCACTTTGAGCCAGCCCTGCTGTAGCACACATACATAGCTAAATGGATGAGGGACCTCTGCCCTGGTATGGTCAAACACATTTGCTGTCTGGAGAACTGTTGGCAAGAGCAGTCCACCACAGGGATTGCTGGAGCAATTCAGAAATTCAGCACCTAAATTGACTTTATGGGACAGGTTCCAAGATCCTTATTGTTTCTCCTGTTTGTGAGCCCATGTTTCTTTTGCACTAACCTGGTGACAATAAAAGTAACCTCCCCTGTGTCTCAGAGGACTAGTTAGGTCACTGTGTAATGCTGTTTGTAGAGGGTACATTTCACACATGCTGTGTTTTAAGGTGGGTAATAAATGAGTGTCAGCTATTGAATTAGCAAGCAAAATTAGATGAGGCTTCTTAGAAACTTAGAGGGACTATAAAAAGAGTAAGAGATTTCATAGGTATGAAGTTATTTTCCTGAGAGACACACTACAAATATGACAGTTTGAAATACAGAGACCTACAGGAAAATCAATTTCTGATGTTATCAGAATACATGTTTACAGGTGTTTTTGTTGGTCATAAAAACTGTATGTGTACTGAAGTGGTTGTTTTAGGTCTTAGCAGCTTACCTTCATTTTGAAGGATTAAGTTATTTGCATGTTCAGGGTTTTTTTAATTACTTTTTTAAATGAGAAAGATTTTATCCTTTACACTGATATTTGATTCACTAATAACGCATTGTTCTTTGAGGATTTGAAATGGAATTACTGGTGGTTTGAAGTTAAGGGTGTTCTGGTTGTTGTTTGCCTCTCTAATTTCACTGTATGCTCCTCTTTTCAGTCAGATCGCATATGCTCTCAGGAATTCCAGAATTACTTGTAGGCAATAGTGATATGTAGTAGTATTATACTGTAAAGTTACTTGTTCAGATTGAGGGTAAGTTGATTACTATTAATCTGGAAAAATTGAATCACTGAAAAAGAATACAAAAGATAATACAGTATGTTTTTACGTTTTTTCAAAGTTCTGCACATTGCCTTGAATAATTCTTGTCTATCAATCTTTAATTGAAACACTTTTGCAAACAGTTGTAGTCTATGACAAGTATTCTTAAATGTCTCTGGTTCCAGGGCTAACACTTAACTTTTAAAATTCTGTGTTAGAAAAAAGGTCCCTTTGACATGGAGTATCAAATGAAAAGATTACCATCTGAAAGATTAGCAACCCAGAAAATTCTGTCTGTGGTTGGTGATTGCCTTGATAATTTTGGTCCTGGATGTGTGAGTATACAGAAGATACTCAATGCTCGCTGCCCGCTGGTGAAATTTTCCCATCAACCGACAGGATTCCAGTGTGATCTGTCAGTGAGCAACAGGTGAGACAGCTTTATAAAGTTTAGAAAGAATACTAATGTAATTATGTTCTGAAAACCTGTGATGAAAACTGTTTTGTCTGCTCATTTCTGTGTTGTTAACAGAAGTGAATGTTGGCTCTGACAGTAAAAATGGTATCTTTAACTTTATAGAGCTCAGGTTTTGATGTAGTTAAGATATCTTTCTCCAGCATAGGAAATACTTGCTGGCTGAAACTGAAGACTTGAAAACCACTCTATACAGTAAGGTTGACTAATAAGGAATTGAAAGAAGGCAGTGCTTGTTAGTTATTACTTCCCTTTATTTGTATGGGCATATGCACTGTCTTCTTTTGATTAGTTTTCAGATTAAGCAGCTCCATTATGTTAGTTTTCAGTTGTTTGGCTTCTAGTTATTTTGGCGTCCTTTTTTTCTTAAGGGTCTGCATATACCTGTTTGCTGGCAAGGTATCTTGAATGCTAAATTAACTTGCTGAACCTCTGAAAGCAGAATCTCAAGTGTTACTGTCGTTCTGGACCTTTCACCGCAATGCCCGATAGAGGGAGCAGGCTTCTTAGAAATACCTCTCTTTGCATCTGTTTTCCTCTTACAGCTTGCCCTCCTTTGGTTGACAGTAAAACGTATGATTTGGTTTGCTGTCACAAAGAAATGCCATACCCACCACAATCCAGAATACATCCATAACACTGGTTTAAGGGTACCATAATACCAAATGAGTAACTTTTTTTGTTGTTGTTGGGAATAGTAGAATGTGAGTTACTATCTTTCAGAATACTTTTCATAATAACTTTAGTGCAGATTTTGTGATTGGTCTACATGAGATACAGTCAGATCCTAGCCTGAATTTTCTGAATTACCCAAAGTTCCATTTCAGAATATGCAGGAGTTGTTAAGGCAGTACTGAACAAATGTCTTGCAATAAAATTACTTTTGTATAGACAGCCAGAGTGAAAGTCAGCATTTACTTGTAATTCTCTGCTGACAGTGGCTGGTTGGGACTGCGTGTGTTGTCCTGTTATCATTTGGAGTAATACCAAACCTCTGGACAAAAGGAAGCGCTTCAGAGTTGAAGTTTTAGAAGTTCAGGTGTTATAAAACTTTGACATGGTAAATTTTCCCAAAATGCTATGGTGGATTTTTAGAATAATTCAGTGCAAGATTAGGAGTAAAAACTCCTGCAGCTGTAGTTCAACAAGTACTTTAAACTGAACCCAAAATAAGTTTTGCTGTCACACCATGCTTCCATTTTATTTCTTTTTCTTGCCCTCCTGTTTGTACCCTACATGAATGTCTGTACGACCATATGATGAAGCAAATAAAAACCTGATCCATCTGAAGACCTTTATTCTTCCATATTAATAGGATTTTGTAGCAGGACCAAATATGAGTAATTTGAAAAGTGGCTTTTTTTGCAGATTTCATTGTATCTCTGCACTTCATGTATTTTTCAGTACATTGTTAGGGTAGAGATAGCATCTAATGTACCTCAAAGGCAACTGTGGCTAAATTGTGGGTTTTGCCTTCATTATGTATAGTTTCATTCCTGAGTACTTGATGGAACTTTCTTGTTTCTTTCTTTCTTTTTTGCTTGTTTGGTTCTGTTTTTGTTCATTTGTTTAACTTGCACTGTGATGTGGAACAAGGAAACAGTGCAAATGCAGTACTGTTATTTACAATATACAAGAAGTATACAACTGTATACTTACTACTATGGAAAATTACCAAATATTTCATCCTGGACAATTTCAGGCATTCTCCTCTATTTTTTTAAATGCATAAAAGCTAAATGTGTTTTTTTTTATGCACACCCTACTGCTGCTGTAGGGCTGAACGATGAACACTACATTTGGTACTTTACAGTTCTCTCATTATTTACATGTCTCTTACGTTTCATTCCTTCTTCAGCATCGCTATAAAAAGTTCAGAACTCTTGTACATCTATGGCTGTCTGGATTCCCGTGTAAGAGCACTAGTGTTCAGTGTACGATGTTGGGCTCGTGTTCATGGACTTACAAATAGTATTCCTGGCACCTGGATTACAAACTTCTCTCTGACTATGATGGTCATGTTTTTTCTGCAAAGGAGATCACCACCTATCATTCCAACACTAGATCAACTTAAAGAACTGGCAGGTAAGGACAGCTATTTATGTGTTTATTGCAGCAACTTTCACATTTATTTTCTCTAAAGTGATGAATAAACTCAAGCAATTTCTTTATGTCCTCGAATACTAACGCGTACTGTGTGTGCCTTACGTTTAAGATAATATACAAGTTTTAGATGTATTTTTTTGTGAAAATAATACATTTTAAAGGCAAAAAAAATCCATTTTCAATACACTACTAAATTCTGTTTAGAGGGGTTAGGCTTGTTCTGTGCCTCAGATAATTAAGAACTCATTTATTTGCTCAGTGGTCCCATGCTAGCTCTTTTTTTTTTGTTGTTGTTTTTTTCTATTTTGCTTGTTTTAGAAGACTTGTAGTGTCTCAGATGCCTCTGCAGTTGTTAAGAATTTTGTGCAGACTGATGTATATTGTTTTATAGATGCCAAATGTTTAAAAGAAAGTCTATATTTTTTTCCTCACAATTCAGACTATCCTTGAGACTGTCTAGGTCGTCTGCAAATAATTCTTTTGTCTTCCCAAACAAACTGTTCTGGCTGTTTCATACATAGCTTTCAGGGCATATTATGTTCAGTAAATCTTAGAAAAGCATAGAAAATGATATCCCAAGTTCTTGATTCCTCACTCATGTCTTCTGCTTGTTGACATGCTTCTCTGGAAGCTTTGAGTGCTTTGAGTGGAGAAAAAGGTCTGTGTCCAGTTGCTTTAAAATCAGTGTAAACATTCCATTAGAATTCTATAGATCCTTTTTTTTTTAATACATAAGCCAAAACACCTGCACTGAAATTTTACAAGAATATTCCTAAATCTCTTTTAAGTTTTTTTAAAAAAAGACAATGGACACTTTGGGTCTGATTTTTTTGAACCCTTCACAGTTATTAGCCTCAGAGATCTGTGCCATTTAGTGTGTGATAAAGCTCTGTATGCAGAGATACCAGGTTTGTTACTTAAAATAAGTAACTTAAGAGATACAAAGATACTCTATACCTTATTCCTGTAGGCTTTTAAAAATACTGCATTTACTCATGCTTCTTTTCTTTTGCCTGTCCATGTACTTTTTTCTTTTAAATCTTTAACAACTTAGATGAAATCTTAACCTGAAAGTTCACTCATGAACTCCTAATTTGATTTAATACAATAGCATTCAGCAAGTGCAGTCATATATGTTACCTGAATTTTATTAAACACAATGGCATTTTATTATTTATCACTTACAATTATGCCCATGATTTTTGTTTCAGATCAAAAAGACAAGCTTATAATTGGAGGATATGATTGCTCATTTGTTAGTGACTTAAGCAAGATTAAATGTACAAATAATACAGAAACACTTGGTAGGTAAATTGTCATCAACATTTTAAAATTGTTTTTTATGAGCATGTGGAAAGTAAACTTTTCATGTTACTGATGGCTGTTATTTTCTTTCCCTTAGATGTATTGTTGGGTGACTTTTTTGAATATTACGGAAACTTTGATTTCAGAAGGAATTCCATAAATCTTCGAAAGGTGAATGAATTTTAATCTGTCATCAGTATCAACTGAATTTCTTTGCTTGCCATTTGACAAATTACATATGCTAAGAAGGAGTTTCTGTCATTTTTAATTGCATGTACAGTCCATTTACATTGGTTGTATCCAAAAACAAAGTCCTTCATGTGAAGGAAGAAGGTTTTCCTCTCAAAGCCTTATCACTTACAGCACCATTAAGGACACCTGCAGTGTCATTACTTGGGTATATTGGAAAGCACAAACCCTGATTCTAAGCCTGTGTGGTTTTTCATTAAAACCCTGTAATAAAATTGTCAATTTTAAAAATAGAAGCTATTTTGCTACATATATAACTAACTGCCTTAACTTCCTTCCACCTGTTGCTGGTCTTCTTTCAAGGGTTTCAGTGCTATGTTGCTGCGTGGTCATTTATGTTCTGTTTCCTAAATGGGCACTATGGATTACTGGCATTAAGAGATCTTTTTGCTGCTGGTGGTTGATCTTGGAAACTGATTTATTAAGCTGGGGAACTTCTGTTTGCCATTAAGCCTTAAAAAAGGCAAGCAAAAAATATATACGTGTTGAAGCCTGAGCTTCTCTGGGCAAATGTCTGTGCTGCTGATGTTTTTCTGTTTAACTAGTGAGTCCTCTTGGCCCTAGGCTAGTGTATGTATCATGTACATGGACACTTCCTGGACTAGCAGTAGCTCGTAGATTCCCGCTACACTTTGTGGTGGAAGGCCTGAAGAGATTCTGTAATACGGAGCAGGTCAGCCAAGTAGCACTGATAAGCACTGAGATGGAAGTGTGCTTAAATAGCAGACTACATAGTCAGCAACTTGCCCAAAAGTGCCCATGACCTGAATACCTCTGTACTCAAAGGACAAACTAAATGGGGAGGAATTTCAGCCAAAGTAATAATCCTGTTTTGTTATACTAGCTCCTAATGGGTACTGAAAGAGGAGTGGTTTGAACAGTTTAAGTGCATGCATGTAGTAGTTTATCACACTGGGCTATGCAGGTTAATATGACACACTCACTCTGCCCATACACAAATGGAGCTAGGAGTAGGAAACTGCAATGAGTGAGGTCTGAGGTTTGTGGAAAAGCAAACGGGAGAACGGCCAAAAAGGCTAAGCTGTAGTTGTGTGTTCTTTACCTTGAAGGAAATCTAAGCTGAATGCGGCAAGGAAAACCACCGCTAAGAGGATTCAGAGAACAGGAGTCATACAGTCCAGGTGGACAGGAAAATTAACTTGATTAATAATAACTGGGATTTTTTTGCAAAAAGTTCTCTACTAGGTCAAAATACTTGTAATGCTAATGTAATAACTCAAGTGATTTGTTTTTTGCTCAGCCTATAATACACATATGCAACTTTGGCTTTTTCTTTACACTGTCTGCAGGGAAAGGAAGTAAATAAACCCGAGTCATCTCCTCTTTATATCTGGAATCCCTTTGAACAAGACCTTAATATTAGCAAGAATGTTAATCAGCCACAGCTGGAGAAATTTGTAGCTATGGCCAGAGAAAGTGCCTGGATTTTACGGAAGGAAGAGAAAGCTCAGCAAATGATCAATAAAGAGCCTTGGGGACTGGCAGCCCTACTGATACCATTTGGAAAAAGTAATTCCAACAAGGCGAAGGATAGGCTGAAAGGAATAGGAAGTGAAACAATCAGAAACCTCTTGGACTCTTTAAAGTTAAATAATCCAAACAATCTACAAAAAGCAGTGGGAAAGTGACTTTCAGCACAGAAACACAGCAGCTAATATTCTGTTTTAGGAATTGAAGGTGACATACAGTCTGAAGAACGTTACTTTTAATATTTCTGTTATGGTGAAATGGAGAGTAAAATTACCTCTGTTTTCCATTGTGATGCTTTTTGTACAGGTCTGCTTTCTTTCTGTACGTTTTTCTCCTTGCTCTTCACTTTTCCATCTGTTTTATGAATGAAGAACATTCAAATGCAAGTTTTACAAATACATTTTGGAAGTAGTCTTCAGTTGGGCCCTGTTTAAAAAAAGACTGAGAGGAACAGCATGGGAAGAAGACTTTGGGAATTCTGTTGGCTAACATACAAATGATTTGCTAAATAAAAGCTCAAGAAACAAGCACCTTTCGTTAAAACCTCAGTGTGGAAGATTAATGTGCTAGAACCATTGCTTCCAATCCAGTCATGTTTTGGAAACCAGTAAAACCGAAGTGCATGTATCTGTGTTTGCAGTTGTTTTCCATTCATGTAGATAGTGCCAGAACAAAATAAAGAGAATGGAATTAGATAGTAGGGTCTTGCCATTTCATGAAACATTGCTCTCCAAGGGTAGTGCAACTGTTCCATGGTAGCAAAGTGGTTTTGTTCTTGTATTTACCATTGGATTTCAAATTTCTTCAGTCAGATCTTTTGTTGTCTGTACCATAGGACTGGTTCCCACCCACACTTGTATATACACTCATGTTTCTCATTTTGCCTTCAGCTTCACTTTAAACCTGTCTTTCAGGTTCAGGCAGGGGCTTTTGCATGTCCTTCTTGCCTCATCACTCTCCTCAAAAGTTGCTGCCTGCTAGACAACACCAAAACCTTCCTCTCACTCTACTTTGCAGAAGGATTTATTCCCTGCAGCGATTTATAGGGAATCAGGTATCATGCTGGAGTCCTGTTCCCAGTCTTGCTGTATTTTTCAGATACTCAGCTAAATGACAGTTGTCCGCCTTCCAGATCAGTTGGTCCAGTGAGAGTCTGTCCTTCTCACTGACTTAAAGCATTGAGTTCTCTGTCCATCTGCCACAAAAGTGTTTCAGGAGGAAGGGGGAGAGGGAAGGGAAGAAAGTCGGGTAAGTGGAGAGCAGATGTGATGGTAAGTAAATGTCACATAGATTTTCCAGGTACATTTGTGAGTATTCTACCTGTCCAGTTTGAGAGCCACTCATGCATTGAAACTAAATGGCAATAATGATAACTCTACAGATGATTGTCTTTATTCTTAACAGAAATTCTGTACAAGAAATAACTGTAACTTGCAGATTATCATACAGATGCAACATTGATGCTTATGAGCACTTTCATTTTCAGTGTGTTCAGATTCTTTTATGTTGCAGTAGTATGTGATACTGTGTAGACTTTCTAATGGTGTAGTCTGAAAAGTTTAGAAGTGTGTTTTCTCTTTTCCCTGAGGTATTATCTATTGGAAATACTGTGGGCAGTAACGAGTACTGGAAAAGTACTTGTAAAATCTGGGCAAGGAAAAGTACTTCCCAGCAGTTGGCAGACTAAAGTGTTAGGCTTGGAGATCAATTTCATACTAGTTTATTTGGAATTTAAACTAATATTCACGTGTCCATTTCTGATTCAGAAGTGTTTTCTTGAATGATGACTGACATAGTCATTATCTTGATCACAGGAATTAATTCTTGTATTAATTTCTTCAAGATTGAGCTTTGAATTTCAGACTTTGTTTTCTACCTTAATAGGTGTTAAAAGTTGCTTAGTATTCCTTGAAAGGCAGGGCAGAACTTGGTTACTGTATGTGCAGTGCCTTTCAGCATCACTTTTCTGTTTAGACTGACTGTCCCTTTTGGGAATGGTTCTGAACCCTTGTTATGGCTGCAGGCCAATTTCTGAAAAGGAAAATGAAAAAAGAAGCCAAAAGCAGTGTTGTAGCAATGGAAATGCACGGGTGAATGGTTCAGATGTCTGCAGGTCCAGGGAGCTGGAGACGAGCTGCTTAGTGAAGCCTAGAGACTTTGAGGAGGAGGTGTCATTGATATAAATAAGCCCAGTGGGCAGTTTTCATAGAGGAGGCTGCTACCAGGGGTGGGGAGCTGACCCTAAGCTCCCCTAGAACATGAGCTATGTTTGAGAAAAGAGCTGTGTGACACTGGTGGCACTGGTGACACGGCAAGAGAACTGGACTGAGGAGGACCAAGATTTGAGGGGGTGTATTCAGCAAATCAAAAGAGATGGTGTGATTGTAATATCCTGAGGACAGCAGCCTTATCATACTGAAGATGATTAGAGACAACCAATATGGGTCTGTCAGTAAAAACAAGGTTTGGCTATTTGTCAAGAAAGGGCTGTGATGTGACGGTCTGGACTTGAGAGCTTGTTCACATGGTCCAAAACCACTTAAAAATGACTCAGCAAGAGTCAGTAAGTTTTAGTTGCTTCCCAAATGCTATGCTGTAGGATAGGCTGCTGGGGAGGCTGCATGTAAGTAACATCAGTGAATCACACATTTTTGTCCCTCTGCCCCTTCTCCTTGCTGGGAATGTTTGTTTAGTGCAGTCTCACATTCCCTGGCTCTTAAGTGGTTAGGGAAAGTGAAAACATTTAGAAGTTCCTTGCCTTGAGAAAATGCTCTTTGGGACCATGACTTCAAGTTAACTTTTGTTGCCAGCGATGGGTTTTTTTGTTGGTTTGTTTTTTTGGTTGTTTTTTCTTTTTTTGTCCCACATGTGTGGTACTCATAACAGTTGCAGGAATGAATTCTGCTGCAACTGCCAGTGCTCCATCTTTCTGCTCTAGCTTCCTAGGAATCTGCAGCCTTTGTCTACACTTGGCTGCTGGGTGAGCATCTGTGTGTGATGCTCATGGATAAGACACAGTCATAAAATTGAGACTTCTTGGTTGGTAGCAGATGCTCTATTCCTCTGCCTCAATTTCAAACCTACAGATCCTGCGTGAGATTCTGTCTTTTAGACTTTGGATAATTCAGGTTCAGAGAGATCTTTGGACCTAGTCCAGACAGCTCTAGAGAATCAGCTGCGAGATTAGACCAGATTCTTCAGAGCTTTCTCTATTCAATGCTTGAAAATCTCTACGGATGGAAACTGCACAGCTTCTTTGGGTAACCTGTTCCAGTGCTTGGCTGTCCTTACCACCCCAGTGGGCTGCTCTGTAATACACTGCCACATTCTTGTGACTCTTAGTGGCTGCTTCTTTGATCCTAACCCACACTCTCAGTCAGACTGCCATCCATCACAAATGTTCAAGCTGTTTCTTAATGTGAAGAGACCCCCAGGTCTTCCTGTCTTCCTTCCCCGTCTCTCCTATGGAGCCTGTATCCATCCATCACAGTGCTCCCACAATACATGAGCTATCCCACCACATCTGTTGTTCCAACAGTGCTGCGGTAACAGCATGAAGGAGCTCTAGTTCCTCCTGTTTGTTCCAGGCTGCCATACATTCATGTCTGTTACTTTGAGGTGGGTACCTGTTCATCCTTTTTTACTGCTCTTGAGGTACCTTTTGTTTCTCTCAACCTGTATCCTTTGCTCTCAGTGTCCACTGTTGCCTCACTTAACCGTGAGTTATAACTACTCTCTCATATTGGTCCTAACTGAAAACTTTGATATGGCCTCTGCCCTTACCCAGCTGACAAGTTCCCCATGACATTCAGATCTGGCCTAAAAATTTCTAAAAGGATCTGAAGGATCTGATACAAGGTTTCTAGTTCCAGATTGGCACTGCAGAAAAGCAGCAGGAAATGCATTTGTGCCACTGCAGGGGAGTATAGTGGAAACATCTGAGCTATCCTCAGCTGAAGCACACAGCACAATGCAGAGATACTTGTGCAGATGTGGAAGCAACATGGTCCTGGAGACACAGCACTGCGCCTCAAGGGCACTAGTGTGGAACAGGACTCTGCTGCCTAGCAGAGCTTGTCAGCTTGGATCTGGCACGTTGCTGGTACTGTGTTACTTCCGAGTCCAGAGTAGTTGGGCTCTCAGCTGCAATGTAGTTGTGCTCCATCCTTGTGCTGTCATCAAGGAAACGTGTTCTTACAACAGCATGTCTTTGTTCTTGCAGATTTATTTCAAAGTTCAATTTCATTTATACTCTGGGGGGGATATGGGCTGCTTTTTGTATTTGTACCTTTGGGAAAAAAGCAAGTTAGACAAAGAACCTTTATTTAAATAATTTTGCTAGCAAACTAGTTAAAGGTCCATGCCAAGTTCAGCTGAAGCAAGTTTAGGATTTCCAGCCTTTTGGAGATCTAATGAAACAACAATTAGGAAGTTTTTTAAAGTGAAATCATCCTGTGCACTGGAAAGTTCTCTATTCCAAATGCATGCTTTGTCTTGCTTTTTGGAAAATTACCCCCAAGGTTCTGTTCTAGTAGAAAAGTCTTCTACACGTCACAGATAATTTGGGGTCAGTTTGTTTAAAACAAGGGTTAGGATTTATACAAGGCCAACCTGTGCCTGGAGATAAAATCTCTTTCTCCATAAATCCTCTTAGTTGAAAGTCTTGATTTACTGCATTTGCAGACCTGTTTCTAATACTTTCTTAAGTAAAGGGTTGTTTTGCTTTCTTTTGCAGGACCTTCATGCAAAAGGTTTCCCCCCTCCCCATTGTCTTTTAATCATCTCTCATCTGCTCTGTAAAATTCAGCCCATAGTATTTTGTGGAGCAATAGTAAATACAGCTGCATTCAAGAAATGGGTAGTTTTAAAAATGTGGCTCTTGCACTGCAATGTAACTTTTTTCAACTGCTTCATTTCTTGTGTAGATTGAGTCTCCATACTGCCTTTTCCATGGCTTGTAAAGGGATCAATTAGCTCAGCTTGATGGGCCTCGCCTATACTGAGTATGTACTCTTAGGAAGTCTGCTCATCAGAGACGTCTTTAACACAGTCCGTAGCACTAGAAAGTAGCAAGTCCCTGGAATCTTTTTGAGAGATGCTTTGCCCTTCAAAATAATTTGTTTCTCCTGTTGTTAGGGCAAAAACTATGTTCAGTTTGTTTCACAGAGAGACTTCAGAGATAGATAGGGTTTTGTTCCCATGCTGAGCTCTCTTGTGCATACAGATTTGTAGTCAGTGTAAACATTGCAGCCCTGTACAGGAATCTTGCATGGAACAACTCCCAGAATGTGTCTTCTAGGTATTATCCTCACAGCCTGACGGGGGAGGTAAGAGCCCCATGAATTACAAAGTTACAGCCTCCTATTTGAGTTGCTGATTCCACAGGCTGGAACAATTCCTGTATTCTGTATTGCTTTTTCTAGTATTGGACACAGGAAAAAATCTGCTTTCCTGCAGAGAAAAGGTACATATGTTGAAAACAGGATTAGTCAAATGCTTCTTGAATATTTACATCTGAAGTTTGGTTTTCTAAAATCCTTCTCTAAGAGCTATTTCTAAAGCTTCTCAAGATGAGAAGAAAGAACTATAAGCATACACAAAAGCTTCATATTTAAGTAATTAGATAAATAGTAATTACTAGTAGATCACTAATAAAAAGTAATATATGGTGGAAAGTAATACAACTAACAATGCA